GGCGCCTTCCTCCCATCGTGTGCAATCTCACACACTCGAGCACACGCAAGTCAACAAAAGGCCGACACGAAGTATTGGAAGTGAAGTTGAAGACTCAAATGACACTTCACAAGCATTTACGCGCTTCGCGATGATGGCGACATCACGGTGGGGGGGGGGCTTCATTGCAACACCGCCACCCGATAGGCTGCATCTGCGTAAGGGGGCGTGGTCTCGTCGCACAGATAGGTCAGTGTTCCGGATGGGACGATCTGGGATTTCATTTCACTCGCCGTACGTGTGCCGACAAGAATGTGACGATTCTAATCTTGACATTTTGTTTTCCAGACACGACAGCGTTCCCGTCGGAAGGACAACATCCAACGACGTCGGTGAGTGTTACTCCGACACGCGTGCTCGTCCGGCGGATGCTAATGCCGCTTGGACGTGCCAGCCACGTTGATGTGATCATGACAGCAAAAAAAAACAAAAAAACATCAGCACACGTGCGTCATGAGATGATCAAGGCGCGCACACACACACACACACACACACTGCTGCGGCTGTTACCATGACAACAAGCTGATGAATCATTGAGTGACCCCGCAAGTACAAAGAGCAATTTATAGACACAGAAGGCCACTTCTCTGCTCAATGGCTGAGCTGAAGCCTTTAAAGTGCATCTGAAAATCACATGTCAAAGCAATGCGGCGTTCCAGCGCAGTCGCAAGTGTCAACGTGCTCGTCATGCGCGCACACACACACACACACACACACACACACACACACACACACACACACACACACACACGCTCGAGCGCTAGTCAGTGAAATGAAGCCCTTAAAGCGACTCTGAAGTCCAAAAACGATTGTGACTCTGGATGTTCCTTTGGTGCCACACGCGCCCACGACGCGAGGGGTCACTGACATGGTGGCCTCACGTAGGCAGCCAGCAGGCCCCTGCTAAAAATAGCCAGAGAGATTTTTCGAAAGAAAGCGCTTTGCAGAATTGTTGCTCTTCGCTTTGGTGAAACCATGAAACTTTGTGATGACAATTTGTTTTCCCACAGGCGGGGAGGAAACTGCAAGCCCTTTGTTAGCTCTCCCTTTTCCAAAAGTCGGTGACCTTTGCACTCGCTCATGTCGGACAGCATCTAGCATCACACCTAGCTAGCTAACCGGTAGCAGCCTGTGTGTGTGTGTTTCGGAGGTAAGTCGTGCTTGGGGATGTTGTCGAAATTCCTGTGGTGTATCCACACTTGTCATTACCCACAAAGCACCTGGTGGCTCATCTTCACCTGCATGCTCTTCAATTACACTTCAAAGTGCGCACGCACGCATGAATCCTGTGTACACGTGTATACTGAGCGTGTGAGAGACGTGTGTACCTGTGTCTTCATGTGTGTGTCTTTGTGTGTGAGATGTGACATGTTTGCGTGTGTGTATGTGTGAGATGAGTGTGTGTTTGCCTGTGCGTGTGTACACCTGCATTTGTTGCAGGTGTGCCACTCACGTAGCAGGCGCGCGCGGTACTTGCTGGTGTAGAAGTAGACGTCGTCGTATCCTTCCTGGTAGTCGTCGGCAGCGCGGTACCTCCTCCCGCGCCTCCTTTGAAGCAGGCGCAGGAGAGCCAGGAAGCGCTCCATCCTCAGCGGGGGGGGGACTAACGCACGGCTAGCCGCGAGCCGTCGCTAACGGGAAGCGGCATCCCACACAAAGAAAGTCAGCTCGGGTTTCTTCCCGCGTGCGTGCGCACACGGGCACTCTTTTTAGCCTCGCCTCCTCTGCAGCCTCCTCCTGTCCTCCTTCAGCCAATCACAGCGCTTGTAGTGCATGCGCACACGCGCACACGCACACACTGTGTAAATGTGCACTTGAAGAGTCAGCAGACATGACTTTTCTTCTTTTCTTCCTTCCTTGCATCCTCCACTCATTTCTCCCCCCGCCCCCCCATCCTTTGCACCATTCATTCTTCCTTTTATGACACACACTCACACACACACTTGTGTGCGCCCACACACTTGGTTCCGCTGAGGGGGAGGGGCGTGCTCCATTCAGTCAAGGATAGCCAGCAATTTCCACAAAGGAGCGGAGGACGGAGGCAAAGTGCACAAGCCACGGGGTGAACGCGAACGACATTTCCCACGATGCACGTGGGCAGCATCTCATTCATTGAAGCCGAGTGTTTCCAATCTATTGGAGAAGAAACTTGTCCGAGCGTCACGTCGTCTAAATTCACGTCTGGCGGAAGTGTTCGAGCAGAATGAGGTCTCATTGAAAGCGGTCACGTCAAATCCAGAGTCGAGTAGAATAGAGTTGAGTAGGATCTGGTCTATTCCGAGCTCGTCTCGTCGAATGCAGCATACTGCCACCTAGCGGGAGGGAGCAACTACTACACTTCTGCTCGACTCGCGCGGAGTTTACGTCGAGCCGTTCCGGAACAAGGTAGTCCGGTAGAAGAGCAGCTCAAAGGATGTTCTGGAAAATAGTCTGCATTACTTTGCTACTCGTATTACTTTGGTGCCATCTTGGTGCTGGGGAACTATGTTGAAGTGGGTTGATTTGTTTGGTTCCGACAAAAATAGTCTCGTGGCACCATCTTGTGGCATTTATCGGCAATTCTGAACCTTCTAAGAAGATGTGTCAATTAGTGACGGCGATATTCGTGGCAAGGCTCTGTCCCCATCCCCTGTGAAAAGTGTGTGGGGGTCGGGGGGGGGGGTCACTGTATGTCCAGTAAAATGCAGCCAAGTTGAATGTACTCCAGTAAAATGTAGTTTACTGTTTGAGCCAAACGCAGCCTTCAAAGAATCGACGGTGGTCTCATCGAGTGAACGTGTGCTGCAGACTCAGTGGGTTGAAATGTCAAAAGATTGCGTTCTTTTGCTGTGCGAAATGACTCACGCACACAAAACAATGACTGACGCGTCATCTTCGTCGTTTGTCCCTTTCCCCTGGATGGGAGAAGAGCGTTGTGCCTGACCGGCGTCAGAGGGACTGACTGACATTTGGTCAGGAGAGAACAAGCTAGCGAGCGAGCGAGAGCTGCTGAAAATGACAAAACCGTCCTCATTTGCATAGCGCGCATTTGCATATCACTCGCAGGCCTCTGTGCCGCCGCGCCGCCATTGGCTGCCGGAGTGTGTGTTTAATCGCATTCGCCACAGGCGCCGGCTTATCCTGCCGCTCCCCCGCCTGGACGCTCTCAGGCTGCGCAGCGCGCATCGATCCCATTGGTGGCGATGCTGTCGATATGATCGGGGGCGGGGGGGGGGGCAATCGGGCGCTCAACCGCTGTCGGGTCACAAGGGGGCGCCGGCACCCCAGCGCGCGTTGGGGCAAACGCCACGTCGCCCGAGGTGCTATGCTTCATGGACGTCCGAGTGGCTGACCTTCATTCCTAAGGGATGAAGGTCCCCCACGTCCCCCCCAAAAAAGGGTTTCTAAAGGCCACACGATGGTGGCAAGTGCCAACTGCTACCAAAGAGGACTTAATAGCAATTTCTTTTTTGCCTTGCGTATCAGTGGCTGGTATCGGCGGCCTCCACGAGTCCCCGATACCTTAAAATAAGACCATTATCGTCCAGAGACTGATACCTGCTATCGGTGCTTGCCTATCCCAAAGAAATAGGTTTCGGAAATAATTGAAAAAAAAAATGTACGTTGAAAAATGCTGACTTGCGGGTAAGCGGCGGTTCACTGCAGACTGGAATGGCGTCGAGTACATGATGGTCAAGTAGAAGCTAGTCTCGTATTAGGACGCCAGAGGAACTGACCTTGATTCAGAATGCACACGCACACACTAAGAGCAAGTGCAAGCGACTTCTCAATGAAAGCAGAAACGCCAAACAGGTGCACACACACACACACACCGACTGATGCATCATGCGTGTGTGCAGTATGCCGGGTGAATTCAAGCAGAAAATGACATGATGTTTGTTTGATGCCAGCAGCTCGGCACTCCACCTGGATGCTGCCCTGGGCCGAGTGTGCGTATGCAAGTGCAACAAATTAAGGACAAAAGTGGCACTATGCCACCCCTCCAAAATAAATAAATAAATAAATAAATTAAAATGCCGTGTTTTACAATCTCCTTGCCTTGCCTTGCCATGACACGTGGTGGAGAAGTTTACGCTGGTCAGCATTTTATTGTTCGCCGCGGTGGTGATGTGTGAGCAACGACGCAAAATGTGTTGCACATGAACAAGATTCCAGTGCATCCACGCACGTTTGCTTGACTAATCCAAAGGACAAGGATGAGCACAGTTGTGACATCAGCACCTCTTAAAGGACGCTGTGTGTGTGTGACTGTGTGTGTGTGCGCGCGCGCGCGCAGCACGCAGGCCGCAAGTGCTGCATGCTGTCACACTATAGCAGTGTCTGTTGGTGTGTGTGTGTGTGTGTGCGCACGCGCGCATGCTGTCACACTAGCAGTGTCTGTTGCAAAAAAAAAAAACTAAAAAATGAGGTGAATGTAACGTCTCACACATCACCGTCATCATCATCATCTCCGTGTCCACAGTGCAGTATAATGTGTCACACGTTGATATCTTCGATTCAAAACTTTTCATTCCGAGTTATTCCCTCTTTTGTCTATTTTTATCCATTCTTACTGCGGTGTTATTTTTAAACGTAGAGACTGATCAAACTGAATCATCATCATCATCAGTGATGTGCCTGGAAATGTGCAAATGACAGCAGACTTGGTGGAAGGCGAGGATCTGAATATGGAAACGACCTCACGATATCATGAAGAACCAACCACTTCGTCTTGAGTGGCCGCGATGACTTACGAGACGTCACTTTGACTTGAAAACAGTGTTATTGATGAGCGTCGCCGGGGTCGCGCTGACCACTGTCAACGTGTGCGCTCACAAGCGCAGTTTGCACACATTTCGGTCAAGCGAAGGGGCTGTGGGGAACGCGCGGCGAACCGGCCCCTTCAGGCCGCTTTTCGTGGTCCCGCGCCCGCCACGCAGGAGCGCGACTGCCGGCAGGTCGGCAGGTGGGTGGGCCTGCTAGCCGAGCTACCCCGCTTGCGTCACCTGCTGAATCCACCTCCACGTAACGTCATGTGAAGCTCCGTCACTCTACCTGACGTCACGTCAAGCAAGATCAGCCGGTGCGCCGCAAGCGCGCGCGCACGCGCGCTCATCTTCAACTTCCGCGCGCGAGACGCCAAAAGCCGGCAAACAGGCGAACGCGCACCAGTAGACAGGCACGCGCGCGCAGTCGCGAGCAGGCGGGCGCCGAGTGAGCGACGGAGTGGAGACGCTGGCTGCTTACCTCCTTCCTGGTCCGCTTGCAGACAGGCCGGGATGTTCTTCTTCCATCCGGGCATGATGCACCTCAGGGCGGATAGGGAGTCCAGGGCGGCCCGCTAGTAGACACACAGCACCAGCAGCGGCAACATGTTAGCTAGTTAGCTTTAGCTTCGTGGAGGAGCTCCACCTCCGCGTGCACTTCCTCTTCTCCCTTCTCCCTCGCCTCTTCTTCGGCACGCGAGACCCCCACCGTCTCTCTCTCTCTCTCTCTCTCTCTCTCCCCCTCTTTC